AAGATTCTTTAAATGTCCATATCATCAGTTTATTTATCTACTTATTAAGACAGGATTTGAATTGTTTTGAAAGGTTCTGGTTTAATAAGGTATTCATAACGAGATATATTATTTTTTTCTTTAACTCGAAAATATTCTTTCTAGCTGAAAATTAAAAAAAACATTTGTCATACGATCGATGTAGGGAAAAAAAAAAAATAAGTGTGTCAAGTACTGGAAAAAATTGACATGAAATGATAAATAAAAAAAAGGCAATTGTTAATAATAGGCTTAAAGTAATAAGCAGTAAATCCGTTAAGTGAAAGATAAAAAGTAGATTAATTGAAATTATTGAACAACTTAACATGTAGTAGACAAAAATGAGAAAGAGTTGATAAGTAAAATAATTCTAAGGAGTTTACAGTGGGAAGACGTGACTGAAGGGAGATAACAGAATATTTGGACGAAGAAGAAGAAGAAATGGAGGAAGACAACTAATCAAGTGCCTCTTCTGATTAGGTAGAAGAAAAAAAAAGATATTTTTATTCGTACAAAGCACCCCCCAAATACTAAGAATAAAACTCACTATCATTTATAAGGCGCCAATAAATTATATTTCCGAACTTTAAAAAAATCTTTAAAACTTTGAGTTCTTTTTTGGAAGTTGACTCACGTTTTTACAAAATTTGCGCAGTCGTGCTACTAAGTAGCAATATGCAGACTTTTACACTAGTTTTTTTTTTTTTAATATAAAAAAAGTATTGAAACGTTAAAAAAAGATTTTAAATAAAAAAAAAAAAAAAATCAAAACAAAAACGTTAAAAAGTCATGTGTAAGAAAATTACCAAAGATAAAAATAAAATTGTCTGAATTTTCAAGACTGATTCATTCATTTTGGAAAATACAATCATTAAACATTGTCAACTACAATTTTTTTTCTTTCTGGTACATCAGAAAATCATAACTACTAGCAAGAATTGACTAGAATTTTCAATTAAGGACAGAAATATAAAATTTTTTTTAAAATTCGACTTCACTATTTTTTTTTTTTTTAAGAAAAAGATTGAAAACAGTATGAAAGAAATTGTAGTGCTGGAGAGAAAACGTTAAGACTAAGAGTAAGACTAACTTTAAGGTGCAAAATAGAATGGTTCGATTATTATTATAGATTTTCCAACTGAATTTTGCATTTTTAAAAAAATAATTATTGAAAAAAATGTTTTAAAATATACGTTTTAAATTTTAAATTAAGAACCCATAAAAGCACTTTCCTTAAAAACATGAGTAAAAATACAATTGAAAATTTTTTTTTATTCATTCAATTCAGTATATCTAAAAAATTAACGAACATTCAAAGAGTTTTTTTTTTTAAAACTTGTGATTCTTTGGGCGCTTAAGAAAAAATATTAGTTTAATTTTAAATATCGATTTTGACGTAATATAAATTTAAAAAAATGATTGTATTTTTAGGAATCAAAACTACAACAAACCAACCACCACTCCCATTTAAACCATTTTCAAGGAATAATATTTGATTCATTCATTGCTTTTAATGACAATTCTATGCCTATTCACTTCTGCAATTTTGCTACGAAACTTTTGTAAATTCTTCCAGTTTTAGTCAAAATAAATGAAACCTTGATTTAAAAAAAAAAATTCTTAATACTAAACTAGTCGGTTAGTGAGCAAGAAAAAAATATTTTCCGTCGAACTTATTGAGGTCAGCAGTAGCAGAGAGTAAAGAGAGATCGGTGTTGAGTAGAAGAACCAACATTATGATTCTCTGCTGCACAATTCAGGAAAGGAACAAGGAGGAGAAAGCATGGATTATTATTAACCAGGTGCCTGTCTGTCCGTTCGTCTGCCTGCCAACCACTGGCACTCAATCCCAACAAACAGTGCGGGAATTCTATAACTATCTTTGCTCATTCTCTAAATAAAGCAAATAAATAATTAAAATCAAATAAGAAACAGCTAAAAACTTTGTCCTGTAGATAAGTGTTCCAGAGAAAATGGAAAATGAGTAATACAGAAATTAGTCGGAGTTTTGATGGTGCCAAAGAGAGGGCGAGAAATATTAAAGTAATGAGAAAGTTAGAAAAACATGAGTTGTTAGAGACCCGGATGTATGAACCTTAATACGCTATCCAGGATCATTTGGTCTTCAATTTGATTTTTACAGTTCGATTTGTTGAGAATTGTTTTATTTAGATAAGTTTTATATCATAATCATCATAATAATAATCTCAAAGATTCTTGAAACAACTATTTGAAGATTAAATTTTTTCAAATTTTTTTTTTTTTTTACAGAGAAACTTTCATATCCGAATTTGTGTTTTTAGTTTTTAAAGGATTACAAATGCGGATAGTTACAAAAAAAACTGGTTATGCAAAATAAGAAAAAGTGGTTTAAATAAAGAAAAATAATGTCGTTCAAACGAGTCAGAATTTCTTGTTTAAAGGGGGCAAGATGGGCGCGTAAAAACAAACAAAAAACAAGGAATAAAAAAATAAAATAATTCGAAGATGTTTACATTAATTGTCCTACCACTAAATTTATGACCCTATTACAAAAAAAAAAAAAAATTATCTTGGAATAAGGACTGAATATTGCGATATTTATGACGTAAAATAAAATTTAAGAGTTTTTTTTTTTAGACATTTATTTTTATTAAAAACCTAGGGGGATAGTACTTTGTTAGGCATTCCTTATGACTAACGACCCCCCACCTTTTCTCGTCCAAAAAAATCTAATGTCAAAACTAGATGTAAAAAAAAAAAAAGAAAGAAAACAAACAAACAAAACAAAATCAATAAATATGAAATACATTCTTAGCAAGAAATATTGAAATTGAAGAGAACATAAGAGACAATTGATTGAGGTTTGGTAGAGTTTCGTTGATAGGCGCAAGTGGTTTTAAAAAGCTTGTCCACATATCAAAACAAAAGGTTTATGAATGAATGACAATGTGGACCCTATTGAAATTGAAGAAACAGATCAGGAAAAGGGAGAGGCAGGAAGAAGTGATTTATTTAATGTATCGATATGTCAAGTCCTGTCCCAATAATACCTTTACATTAATTTACAAAATCCATTTCAAAAAGTGGAGAGAAAAAAAACGTAATTAATTTTAAATACTAAAAAGTTTGACAATATAAAAACCAGGAAGGTCAAGAATGAAATTGAAATGGAGAGGAAACTTATTTCCAAGCTGACACTCACTGTTAGCTAAAAAAAAAAAAAAAAAAAAAAAAAAATCCGCTATTTTTTTTTTTATACAGATGAAAATTAAATTGGCTACACTACAATTTGTCTTTTAATAGTGCATGTTCAAATTTGTTTGAAAAAAAGTTTCATTTTTGTTAAATCTTCGACACGAATGTAAAAAAAAAAAAAAAAAAAAAAAAATGGACAAAATCGTGAGAAACGTTTTATCGATTGACAGAAATAGTTATAAATTAATTAACTTTATTAAATTATTAACAAAAATTCAGTTCTTAAAAAAAGCATACCCCCCAGATAAAACATTTAGAGCTAGAGATAATAATAGATAGTGTGTGTCTGTGCGTCAGAAATAAAGATGTTTATTATTTTGTTAAGGGGGGGAGGGAACAGACTATTTTTCAGAAGGATTGACTTGATCATCTCCCAAGAACTAACTACAGCCTGCTAAGCTGATAATACCCACAAAAAGATAAGAAAAATAAAATAAAAAAAAAAATAAATAAAATGATGGCTTTTATTCAAAATATAGTAGTGTTGTAAATCTATTGAGCAGTTAAAAGTGCCCGCTTAGAAAGTTCATGGTTAAGGAAGAAAAAATAAAACGAATTCATGACTGATAGTTAAAATTATTATTACTTTGACATAAGAGGAGGAGGAGGGGGCCCTATTGATGACAGTGTAAAGAGAGGAGTGGCTGAAAGTATATAGAAGTTCGTAAAAAGAAAACGATCGTGAAAGAAAACAAATTTCGACGTTAGATAGATTGTTAAAAATAATCTGTACTGCGTAAGTATTTAAACAATCGAACAATAAAAAAAGGTAGTAATTACAAGGAGAGATACTTTTAAAAGAAAAAAGTCGATGTGAAGAAGTGTTAGTTTGTCAGAAACTGGAGATACGCGGCTGCTAGATGACTGATATTGATTAGCAGAAGTAAACGAGAAAGAAAAACGCATTGCCTTTTAAAATTAAAGTAAACAAAAAAGTCTGGAAAAGTGATAAAGTAGCAATTATACAAAATTAGAGAATGGCAAGATGCAATTTATTTAAGCCGATCATAATCACAAACACTTTTTTTTTTAAGTTCAAGGGGGGCAGGTACTTTTTAGCACTATGACGCAAAGTGCACGTGTTTTTATAAACAAAGTAGGAGATATATAAGAAAAAAATCTGACAAGAATTTTTCTGAGATGAAAATCTGAACAGTCTGATTAGTTCAGAGCTTGTTTTTCCGAGCGGTTTTGGGGCAGAAAGTGAACGTTTAGAGGGGAGGGAGTTACGAAGAGAGACGACCGAGTTTTCTACTTATGGAAGCTCCGATATTTTCAACATGGCGTCATTCGAACAACCAGTGCGCCGATCTAGATAAGGGGGGGAGAGGAGGAGATAATGTCCCTTCAGACAATTTTTACACAAGCTTTGAACGAGGAATATAAAAAAAGTAGACAACTGAAGAAGAATCAGTAAAAGAAAAAAAAAAAAAAATAGGACAAAATAATTCTTTTTACTGCACCAAAGCTTTCCATATTTCAGACATGGCGTTAGTTTTTCAGGGAACAGAGGTGTAAGGGGGAGAGTAAGGGTGATGAAACGACCCTTAGGAAAACTTTAACACAAGTAGAAAAAATAAATAAGCTAAGGTTATTTTAGAGATAAATACATTTTATAACTTTTTGTAAAGCTAAAAGAAAACTTTACAGACTATTTTTTCAAAATTATTTCCTATCCGATTTCATAATTTTCTAAAATCTTGAGAACTAATACATTTATAAATAACTAGTAACAACAAACTTACTTGAGGTAATATCGATGTCCTTGAGTAGTTTTGGCCATTTCCCATCCCGGGGGTAGGGGCTGTTCGTCTGTGAGATCATAACTATGTTGTCTAACATGCTGGGATGACGGAGGAGGGGCCGCGCTGAGAGTCTGGGTGAGACTTGCCGGAGAGGAATGGGCCCGCGGGTGGGCAATGGTCAACCCGCTGGTACCGCCACCAGTACCACCGGGCCCCGTCGTCGTGGACTCTGTGCTGCCTTCACGACTGCCGCTATGGGGCTTTTGTTGCGTCGGGTCTGGAGGTTTGAAAAAAGAGGCAGGCAGGTTCCTCATACGTAGTGGAATCTGGGGTGGGGCTTCTGTTGGATTCATCGCAATCTTAAATAGAGCCTCTAGATCAGAGTCGCTGTCTCCTCTGACATGAACGACTTGATTACCTTTCTGTTCGGTTCTTTGCTGGGACATTTTGGTCAGCTAGGTGACGAAAATCACGAACCGAACAACCCTTACGTTCTTCTTAATGCTCTGTATCCGTCACAAGTCGAAACAAATACGTAAAATCCCGAAGTTTTCCTGAAAATCGGTTCGATGGGAGGACACTCAAAGTTTTCACGAAAAAGTTGTGGCACTACGGTCGAACAACACCTATTTAAACGCCTGATTACCGACGCCGCGAAAAAATAGTGCCTAATACCTTCACAGTGGGAGCCGACTGATCGGCCTGCTCGCGATGTGAAAGACACGTTTTACTTATTTTAAGTCGATATTAAGAATGGACTGGAGTAGGGTCCGCCTCTGTTGACGATGTGAGATATTCGGACGTTGACGGGGGTGCAAGTTCCATATAAGGGAGTCGTTGCTTTGCCCTGTGCTACGTAGGATAATCTTACACAGATGCCGCGTAGCGATATACCGACACAGGTCAGAGGTCAATAGCGAACACACGAACTATAATGAAGAGGGAGGGAAAGAGGGAGGGAAAGAGAGGCATAGACACACAAGTATACACATATACACAGTACACTCAACTAGAAGTAAGTAATTAAAACTAAGCTGAAACTTTAACTAATTCTTGTATTTAAGTAAGCAACTAAACAAAGACGGGTAATATAAACAGAAATCATGAACCCTATACGATAAAAATAAGCAATAGAGAGACGGACAGACGAACAAAAATCTAACTTGCGCTGCCTCTTTTCATAAGTGCTTTCTTTTTTTTTTAGTCAGTGCTTTTTCACCACTATAATTCTACGAAATAGTGTGTGTATATACATCAGCTCATTTTTGGCTTTATTTTTTATTCTTATTTTTTTTTAATGTCCCCGTGAGTATTTATTCTTTTAGACAGGGGCAGGTTGTTATATATTTGACGTTGGTTTTACTAAAAATATTCTGTCTAAAATAAATTTGCTTTAAATTTTTAATAACTTTTCTAAGTTGTAAATTTTACTTACACTGGGGTGTACCGTATTGTCCAAAGCGAACACAGAGAAACTTATAGCTTTTTTATTTATTTGCTTATCACCAGCGTGGATTTTATTTATTTAAACCAACGTCGTAAGCCAGAAGCTTTGCAGAGGTAAATACCGTAAATTTTATTTGTTTTCGTTAAAAATTGCCTGTACTGATTTACAGAACTCTCTTGTCATGACATAAGATAAACATCATAACTGGATCTTAAATATAATAAATGTGATAAAATGCGCATAAATTAATTTATCTCATTTCATATGCAAACACAACAAACTTAACAAATGCAGAGATATCAAAAGCGTTTACAAAATCGAATAAATTATGAAACTATTTAAAAATCCCCCCCCCCTTTAAAAAAATAAATTATTGATAAATAGAAAATATATCGAAAATTAAAAAAAAATATTTCAATGATATTTCAATTTCTTGTTAAAAGATTTCAAGTTAAAATCGGGGGAAGAATTTAAAAATATCAAATCAAACACAAATACAATTCTTTCCTTACTCGATGTTGTTCTGTTTCCAGTTCTGTGATTGTTAAAGTATTTTTTATATTCCACACAGTCTCTGTCGAATTTTTCAATGATAGAATTATTTTTGTTTTGTGTGATACTTTTCGGTGCTTAAATAAAATAAAAGACATTTTTCTTTTCTTTTAATTTAAAGGAAAAACATTAATCAGCTGGTTGGTTGTGTAAAAGAACAAAAAAACAAACAAAAAACAACAACAAAACAACGATTAATAATTATTTTTATCTACCATGAGTAGAGTTTGAGGTTAGTAGGCTTATTTTCTCTCGGTCACCCACGCATTATTAGACATACGGATACTTTTCGTACATGAATATGCTAATTGACTTTTTATTTTTAATTTTTTTGTTGTTGTTGTTAGCAATTAGGTTCTCTTGTTCCATTAGGTCATCGGGCAACAACTTTTGTCTTTTCACCATATGGTCTCCTTCTCATATCCTATCCGGGTTTAGGATCTATTTCTAAATTAAAAAGTTGTATGTTTTCTACTAGTATGTTTCTTAGAAACATACTAGTAGAAAACACAAATATAAATTAACTGCATCCATCTGTAAAAAAAAAACATATTAAAAATAATGGAAGCTTTAATAATAAAAAAGAAAAAAACAACTCTTAACAATATTAACTACGAACAAGGCCACAATGTGCTAACCGTATTCGGAAATTAAAACATCCCTACTACACACTAAGACATACACATAATGCACACACTCAATTAAGCTGAAAAATCGAATCATACTTGATAATGGCTCAAAGCAAAGGTATAGCCAAAAGCGCTCGGAAATATAAAACATTTGGACAGTTCTTACACACTCTTTGTCCAGAAAAGAAAATTCTTGTTCGAACACAAGAAAAATTAAATAAAAAAGCTTAACCGTAGTACCTTGTCTGTCATTTTTAATGAAACATTTATATATATATATATATATATATATATATATATATATATATATATATATATATATAGTGTACTCGCTTGGAAAAACCAGTCACCTAAACGGATCGTCAGGGTACAAGTATTTATATAATTTTAGCTCTAGGTTACGCTATTGAGCACTTTACAAAGTTAATCGTTATAGAACGAGTAGACGTAGGTTAATCATTTAAATATATATATATATATATATATATATATATATATATATATATATATATATATATATATATAATATTAGTGGTTAATATACACACATATACATATATATAACTAAAATATACAAATACTTTCATATACATATATACATATACAGATATATATAAAAAAAATTCCAAGAGGATAGACTCCAGGTAGAACTCAACGTCCAGAACAGAGTAAAAATAGGTCTGATGAAATGGATCGTGATTACGATTCCAATGTAATAAAGTATAACCATGGAATATTATTGTTTAAGCCTTTATATATATATATATATATATATATATATATATATATATATATATATATATAGTTGAATGGATATGAGTTTGTGACCGTCGGTTTTACGCTTTGTATGACGATCGCATAAGCGTGAAACCGACTTCAGCAATCACTCTGTCAACTCGTCGGGGGATATCAGCAATTGTCTAATATATATATATATATATATATATATATATATATATATATATATATATATAATAAACAATTTTGATTTAAAAAAATAACAGACAAGTTCTGTGTGTTTAATTTTTTTTATTGTATTTTTCCAATTTTCATATACCAGATAATTGGAAAAATATAATCAGAATTAAACAGACATTGTTGATTCTTTTTAATTAAACTTGTTTATATATATGTGTGTGAGAAAATAAAACAAAGAACATACAAAATTGTCAATAAACTAGATATTTGCAACTTAGAATAAAGGTGGAATCGTCAGGACACAAAACCTTTTAACGTTGCTTTAAAGTTTCACGCTATGAGGCAATCCTAAGACGGTTCAGCGGTTCAAAGCATGAAACTTGAAGTCATAATGAAATTTTTGCGTCGTTGGCGTTAGATTCCAGCGTTATTCTAGGTTGGTTTTCTTACTGCAAATTTATAGATTTCTTGGGCACTTTGTATCGTATTAAATTTATTTTTTTAAATGTTACATTTGGTCTTTTTCTTTCTCTGAAGCGGATTAGACTTGGTTTCTTCTTTTTTGTTTAAAAATAACTTTGATTTTGTTGTTTACTATGTTTCCTTTGTTTAGATCTCTGTCTCTTGGTGTCTTTGTATATATGATAAAAATATTGTTTTAAGGCACGCTATATTTATGGGTTAAATTGCCTCATATCAGGGATAGAGCGTATGTAAATATAAAAATGGACATTGGGGTCAACATCCACCAGCGACAGTCCGTTTCATGCTTAATCAGGCCTGCGTTTAAACATGAAACAGACTGTCGACGCTGTTGACCTCATTGTCCACTTCCATATATGTATATAACATACATATATATATATATATATATATATATATATATATATATATATATATATATATATATAGTTAGTTAGTTAGTTAATGAAGTTATTTGGTAATCCGTATGGATAATTCCAAGCAGGATGTAATCCAGAGAGCTCAATGTAAAAAACAGAGCAAATATTGATTATATTAAGAAACAGACAAATTTAAGGGTTCATGATATTATAATTTATTTCCTTAAGACCAAAATCCCAGTCCTAAGGAAATAAATTATCCCATAAACCCTTAAAGTTATCAGTTTTCTTATATATATATATATATATATATATATATATATATATATATATATATATATATATATATAAAAAAACACTGATATTCCATGGTTATTATTTTTACATTGGAATCGTAATTAGATCCAATTCATCAGATCTACAAATTCAAAAAAATCTTTTTGAATTTGTATGTCTGATGAATTGGATCGTGATTACGATTCCAATATAATAAATTATAAGCATGGAATATCAGTGTTTGAGCCTTTTATATTATATTCTTGCTCTGTCTTGTACATAGAGCTCTACCTGGATTTTATCCTCGTGGAAATATATATATATATTTCCTCATTATACTCATTTGTGCATATACACGCATACACACACATGACACTTCGCGCAGAACTCTTCATTGCCAATTCAAGAAAGAAATTCGGATTACTAACACAGAAAATGTCTCATATAGAGAATATTTAACATTGAAAAACAAAAGAAAAAATTAATTATTTTTAATAATATGTGAAAATCTCCGCTTTTACCTGAAGACGGTCACGAGACCAGAAACACGTGTAGTACAATTATGTAAAACAAAGCATAATATTTTTTCTAAATAAATCCACATTAGAACAAAAACGTTTGCGGCACCTCTCTTCTCTTCTTTTTAATATACATACTTTTCTCTCGTTGGAACCACTACAACCTCTTTT